GTGCTCTGTCCCTCCAATTCTAGGTCTAGAACCTTTATTTGTCTTAGGGCAGTTCGGGGAACTTGTTGGATTGTGGAATTAGGTCTGGAAGCCTCTCTGGTGTTTGGATGTTGTAGGTTCTCTAGCAGGCTAGAACTGGATAAAGCCATTTCTCTTGTCTTAAAGGGTGATAGTAAGCTTTTTGGTGAGCCTTAAATGGAGGTAATAAATGCCACCTGTAGGCTGTGGGTGTAGGGGCTGGATTCTGCATCACTACAAGTGGAGCCTGGTGGTCTCCTGAAAGATGGTCCAGAATATAAACTGTCCCATTAATGTGGTCACCTGGGTTTGGCTCTGCTGTACCCATCTATAATGGTACAGGCTTGAGTTGAGCCCATAATCCTCCCACTAGGGCCTGTTATTAGCACTAAGTTGATCACTCCATTGGGCAGAGATCGGAAATTCTTTATCAGAGATGATGTGACCTTTTCTGACTCTGCCCAATCTCTATGAATGTTGCAATCTAGGGGACAATTATGAAACTCTACCTTGTTTAGATGGCAAAGAGCTGTGACCCATCCTTTACTGCAGAGGCATCTGGGTTCGAATGTTCCTTGGGGTTCTCTCTACCTGAGACAAGCCCCTTCTTTCCTTACTGGGTTTTTGGACATCTTCTGGCAAGTGTCCAGATGCCAGAAACTTCTTTGCCTCTAGAGGTCACAGTGCTTGGTAACTTTCTTACTTTAGGAAATCTGGGTCTGTGACCCAGTCTTCCCATCACTGCATTCCTGTCTGGGACCAGTGAATGCATTAGAACCGTCCACAAAAAAAAAAAGAAAAGGGGCTGAGTTTCATTCTGGGTTTGCTGTAGTCTGGGATTATGATTGGGATTGTCATTGGGTTCAGGGATTTAAAAGATTGATTGGCTGATGGGCCAAAGGCCTGTTCTAGTTGACCAAGTTTCTAGGTAGGATTAAGATGTTGGTTGAAGGGTACAGTTTCTGGTGTAGGCCAGGTAGGAAGAAAGTTAGAATGAGGTTGCCTCTAGGCTGGGTAGAATCTCTGGAATGTTAGATGATACTATGAAGCCTTGATTTATACTCCTGCCACTTGTTGCCCTGGGGCCTATTTGATTATGGGACATGGGTGGAGGGTAAAAAGCACTTTTGAATTTGTGGAGTGGAACTTCACTTATCTTGTCAGTACTAGTGGCTGTCACTTGGGGACTAGGGAGAAAGCTATCCTCTCTTTCCCTTTCACTCCCCATTGCAGAATTGAAGGAGGGAGAAGGCAGAGGAGAGATGTTAGAAGGAACCATGATTTCTATTTAGCAGACTGGAAGGGCAGGTGGACAATGCCTGGGAGTTAAGACGTTATCTCTTTTAGGATCAGATCCTTGGAATAAAGAAGCCTCTCTGTGCCACCTGCTGTGTCTTGGGTTCTTGTAGGGGGGCGTATCTGGGGGCTGGAAAAGGGGTTTCTTCCCTCCTGGATAACATCTTAGATTCTGTGCCCATTGCCCTGTCCCATCCCATGAGACATTTTAAATGGTCCTTGTTCTCCCTTTCCCTGCCCTTGCCTTCCGGCTCATTGTGTAGGAACCAGTGACTTCATGAAGTTTCTCCGGAGCCACCTGCATCCTGCTGCTCTGAAGTCACTTCCTGCCTGAGGTGTGGAGGTGGTAGGGAGAAACCAGGAAGCCACTAATAATACCAAGAGGCTGGGACCTTAATGCATGGGACATGCCTCCATCACCAAGGAAAATGGATAGGACTTGGGTCCCATGAGGACAACAGGGGCTAGAGGTGCCAGTGACAAGACCATGTGGTTAGAGCCAACATGCCAACTCCATCCATATCTTGGAACCTATCCAGTGTCAACTGCGTGTCTCTCTCACCCTTTCTCCTGTCCTGTGTGTGCTGGGTGCACAGCTCTGTTTTACCCCATGGGCCAATTCTGATGTTACTTCTCTGGGTCCTAAGTTCCTCATCTGTGAAAATGTCAGTTAATGTGGTCTCTGCAGTTCCCACCAACATTTAGTTTGTGGTTGTCTCAGTCCATTTTCTTGTTGCTTATTACAGAATACCTGAAACTGGGTAATTTATAAAGAAAAGGAATTTATTTCTTACAGTTATGGAGGCTGGGAAGTCGAGGTCAAGGGGCCGCATCTGGTGAGAGTCTTCTTGCTGGTGGAGGCTCTCTGTGACACAGGATATCCACGGCAAGGGGACTAGCTCAGGTCCCTCTTCCCCTTTTTATAAAGCCACTAGTTCCCTTCTCATAATAGCCCATTAATCCACGAATGGCAGAGCCCTCATGATCCAATCACCTTTTGAGGGCCTCACCTCTCAATACTGCCACACTGGGGATTAAGTTTCAACATGAGTTTTTGGAGGAAACATTCAAGACAGCATTCTGCCTCTGGGCCCACAAAACTCATGTCCTTCTCGCATACAAATACATTCATTCCATCTCCATAGTCCCAAAGTCTTAACTCATTCCAGCATCAACTCAAAAGTACAAAGTCTCATCTGTGAGCCTGTAAAATCAAAACAAATTATCTACTTCCAACAGACATCGGTGGGAAAAAACATTGTGTACACATTTGCATTCCAAAAGGGAGAAAAGAAATAGGCAAGAAGACAGGGGTAACAGGCCCCAAGCAAGTCCAAAACCCAGCAGGGCAGACAGTACATCTTAAAGCAGGAGAATAATCATTTTTGGCTCCACATGACACCTCCTGGACACACTGGGGCAGAGGTAGGGCACCAAGGCTCAGGCAGCCCTGCCCTTGTGGCAGCTCTTATGTGAGGGTTGGAGTCTGGTGCCTGAAGCTTTCCCAGGTGGGTGTTGCATGCTGCCTGTGACTCCCCAGTTCCGGAGTCCCAGTGGTGGTCTTGCTCCCACAGGTCCACTAGGCATTGCCCTAGTGGGGACTCTGCAGCGGTCTTGCTTCCACAGCTCCAATGGGCATTGCCCTGGCAAGCACTCTCTGCAGCAGCTCCAACCCACATTTCTGCTCCGTGTTGCCATGGTAGGGGCTCTCCATGGTGGCAGCACTACCCCCGTGACAAGTCTCTGCCTGGGCCCGCAGGCTTTTGATGACATCCTTTGAAATCTGGGTGGAGGCTGCCAAGCTTCAGAGTTCTTTGCTTTCTGCAAGCCTGCAGAATTAGTACCACATGGACACTGCCAAGGTCTATCATTTGTACCTTCTGGAGCCGGGGCACAAGCCTCACATGGGGTCACTTGAGCCACTACCGGGCTGGGGTAGCTGCAGAGTGCTGCACTGGGGTGCAGGGTGTAGTCTTGAGGAAGTTCTGGGCTGCAAGCCCTTGGAGAGTGCTCCAGGCCTGTCCCCTGAAACCATTCTGCCCTCCAAAGCCTCTGGGCCTGTGATGGGAGGGGCAGCCTCAAAGATCTCTGAAATGACTTCGGGGTCCTCGGTTTTCCATTTTCTTTAAGAATAGCACCTGGCTCCCTTTTAGCCAGGTTAATCTTTTTAGCAAGTGATGGCTTGGCCTCACCCTTGGATTCCTTTCCTGAAAACGCTCTTTCATTTTCTACCACTTGGGCAGGCTGAAAATTTTCCACATTTTTCCTCTCTGTTTCCGTTTTCTCTACCAGTTCACCATAAGCAGTTAGAAGTAACCACACAGCAGCCTCAGCACTTTGCTGCTTAGAAATTTCTTCTGCCAGATACCCTAATTCATCACTCTGAAGTTCAGCCTTCCCCAAAGCCCTCTGGCATGGACACAGTTCAGCCAAGTTCTTTGCCAGTTTATAACAAGGATGGCCTTTACTCCAGTTTCCAATACCTTGTCGCTCAGTTCCATCTGAGAGCTTGTCAGAACGGCCTTTACTGTCCATGTGAGCATTCTGGTCATGGCCACTTAACCAATCTCTAAGGAATTAAAGCTTTTCCCTAGTCTTCTTGTCTTCTAAGCCCTCATCAGCATCTAGGCTTTTTCTAGCTTGCTCCTCCAAATTCTTCCAGCCTCTGCCCATTACCCAGTTCCAGAGCTGCTTGCACATTTTCAGATGTTTGTTGCCAGTAATACCTCACTTCTCGGTACCAGTTTTCTGTCTCAGTCCATTTCTCTGTTGCTTATAACAGAATACCCGAAACTGGGTAATTTATAAATAAAAGGAATTTATTTCTTACAGTTATGGAGGCCAAGAAGTCCAGGGTCAAGGGGCTGCATCTGGCGAGAGTCTGCTTGCAGGTGGGGGCTCTCCCAAGGCAGCACAGGGTATCGCATGGTGAGGGGCTGAGCGTGCTAATGTTCTAGCTCAGGTCTCTTCCTCTTCTCATAAAGACACCAGTCCCACTCCCATGGTAACCCATTAATCCATTAACCCATGAATCCATTGAGCAGCACAGAGCCCTAATGATCCTATCACTCTTAAAGGCCCCACCTCTCAATGCTGCTACATTGGGGATTAAGTTTCAACATGAGTTTTTGAAGGGGACATTCAAAACAGCAGTGGTTTTGTTTCTCAATCTTTTAAAACCTATGACCTGGATTAGATTTTTGAAAAAAAAAATACCAAAAACTAAACTAAAGCCTCCTTTCACCTCCCATTACAGTTTATCCCCTGTTGAAAATAAGACCAGCTAATATTAGTTATCTCCTGCTACATGTCAGACCCTAAACTAAGCATTTCAGTGCATAGATTTTCTAACTTAACCCCCCTGGCAACCCTAAAAAAGTAGGTACTGTTATTATCCCCTATGTGCAGATGTGGAAAACAACTGAGAGCTTCAATATCTTGACCCCTGAAGTTAATAAGTAATGAAGTTAAGATTGGAACTGTGATCTAATTCTAAAGACTGAGCTCTTAACCGCTATATAATACAGCCACACTAATTTCTGCATCTTTGGCATATTCCCCACTGGCCAACATTTGACTCTATTTGCCAAAAAAAAAAAAAATTATATATATATATATATATGTACATATGTGTATGTGTGAGTGTGTGTGTGTATATATATATGGTTTCTTGGTATGATTTTTATTTACGACATATAGAATTATAAGTCTCAATATGCTTTTTATGACTACGCAGCCTCCCTCCCCACTCCCATCTTCTTTCCCCACTAGTCTGGGTGTGAGCCTTTGAGTCCAAGGTTTTAAGGTCAGGGTCCTGGAGAGCTTGACTTATAATGAAGGTACAGGAAACCCAAGCCATTAGTGCTATGGGGCCTGGGGAGGAGGATCAGGGAATGCTTGCTCGGGGTCTGAGGACTGGCTGGGTAGGAGAGGCTGACTGCTCCAGTAGCCAGAGCCATAGTTTGTCTTCAGTCTATTCCATCGTTAGATCAAAAAAGGTGGTTAGGAAGTGGTTGTTACTAGAGGGCAGAGGAAAAGGTTCCAGCCCCACTGAGGAAGAGGTAGGTGGTGCTGGTGGGGCCCTGTATGAGCTCACAGCCGCCCTTCCTCTCCCCAGTTATTTTTGGCCTCTGTGACCTGCAGGTTTCCTGTTAGAAACTGAAGTGACAGGAACGAGTTCCTATTGCAGAAATGAAAGCCAGGAGGCCACCAACCCATTCTCCTTCTCTCTTCCTTTGGCCTAAGAACCTCTCAAGTATCCAAGCGCTCCGCCAGGTTATTTCGTTTAAGCCGCATCTCATGACCCCTCCTTCGCTGCCCCACGGCCTTGCAACTCCTGGACGCCTCATTGAGCGAGTAATTACTTTCCCCTCCAGAAGCAGTGTACCCACCACCAACCCTTCCGTGTGGATCTGGGTGCTGAAATGTGGTCGAGTCGGCCTGCAAGGTGACTAGGAGACCCTGGCAGCTGCCCGGGTGGCCCCTGCATCACGTGGGGCCCTACCTAATGCCTCTCCTTACGCATGCGCCCCACTCACTGCCCCCTGTCCAGAACAAAGCGTAAATCCCGCCCTGCCCTCTGGCTCCGCCCCCCGCTCAGGAATCCCGCGTCCTCATTGGTGAGCTCTGGACGTGCCTGTTAGCCGGCGTGGCCACGGGCTGACACCCCCAGTGATAAAATAGATAATGCACACCCGGACTGGTGCGCCCGCGGGGTGTGGCCCGAGCCCAGGTACGCTCCCCGGCTCCTAGCCGGACCTTGGAGCCGGGCGATCCCGCCCAGCCCCGACTCCGCGGCCAGCCGGCGGAGCCACGCCCCCCGCGCGCCTGCCTGGGCCGCGCCGGCCTGCTCGCCGGTCCTACGTCGCCCCCGGGGGAGCGCGGGCGCCTCTCCCGCCCGTCAGTGTCTCCTCGCCACCAGCCTCTGCGCCGAGCCGCCCGCGGCGTGGCTGGGTGGGCAGAAGCCGAGTGCCCGGAGCCCGGCGGCCGCGGGGGCGCTCAGTGGAGCAGCCCTGTCGCCGCCCCCATGGCGAGCAGGGCCGAGCCCCCCGACGGGGGCTGGGGGTGGATGGTGGTGCTCTCGGCGTTCTTCCAGTCGGCGCTGGTGTTCGGGGTGCTCCGCTCCTTTGGCGTCTTCTTCGTGGAGTTCGTGGCGGCGTTCGGGGAGCAGGCGGCGCGCGTCTCCTGGATCGCCTCCATCGGAATCGCGGTGCAGCAGTTTGGGAGTGAGTGCTGCCCCTGGATGCCGCGTCCTGCGACCCTCGGAAAGGAGAGGGGATGCGGGCGCAGGAAAGGGCAAGAGCGGGGGGCAGGGCTGTGCTAGGGGGTGACGACGGAGATCTTCCCGAAGAACCCCTTCCACTTCCCCAGGCCCGGTAGGCAGTGCCCTGAGCACGAAGTTCGGGCCGAGGCCCGTGGTGATGACCGGAGGCATCTTGGCTGCGCTGGGGATGCTGCTCGCCTCCTTTGCTACCTCTTTGACCCACCTATACCTGAGTATTGGGCTGCTCTCAGGTGAGACCCTGGATGAGAGCTGGAGAGTCAAATGCTTAGATCTTTGGCGTCTTGATTTTCAACTTCCTCCTGCTCTTTCCTAAAGGCTTAGGAAGAAGCTGAGGGAAAGTTTGGCTAGCACTCCTGCCCCGAGGGAATTTTTAAGAGGGATGATTAAATTGATAAACGTGGTGACGAATTAGGAAATTCTAAGATGGTGAAACCAGATATACAAGCCCAGGGCTAGTGGGACTGGAGTGTAAAAGGAAGGATTACTGTAAAATTGTGCTAGGTACTGTGGCTGTGAAATAAATATCGTTATCCTATTGACAGTCAAACAAAGGCTTTAAAAGCTTACACAACTTGGCAAGTGAAGGTCACACAGCTAGAAATGGTAGAGCCAGGGTATAACTCCAAAGCTCTGTGCTAGTTGCTTTACAAACATTCTCTCTAATCCTCCACAGTCCCAAAAAGTATATGACCCCGATTTTGCAGATGATTTTGCAGATCAGGAGATTGAGGCTAGGAGAGTAAGTAAAACACACAAGGTCACACAGATAGAAAGTGTCAGAGCCAGGATTGTAACCCAGGTCTGCAGGACTACAAAGCAAGTGCTACCTTCTGCTGCTGGGCAGTTGGGATTACTGGATGCCATGAGCTCCCTAAGAGTCCCCAACTCCCGTTTCTTCCTTTTTGACAGGTTCTGGCTGGGCCTTGACCTTCGCTCCAACCCTGGCCTGCTTGTCCTGTTACTTCTCTCGGCATCGATCCCTGGCCACCGGGATGGCACTGACAGGCGTGGGCCTCTCCTCCTTTGCATTTGCCCCCCTTTTCCAGTGGCTGCTCAGCTACTATGCCTGGCGGGGGGCCTTACTGCTGGTGTCTGCCCTCTCCCTCCACCTGGTGGCCTGTGGTGCTCTCCTCCGCCCACTCTGCCTGGCTGAGGACGCTACTGTGGGTGGCCCTTGGGCCCAACTCACCTCCCTCCTCCATCATGGCCCCTTCCTCCGTTACACTGCTGCCCTCACCCTGATCAACACTGGCTACTTTATTCCTTATGTCCACCTGGTGGCCCATCTCCAGGACCTGGGTTGGGACCCACTACCTGCTGCCTTCCTCCTCTCAGTGGCTGCTATTTCTGATCTCGTGGGGCGTGTGGCCTCTGGGTGGCTGGGAGATGCAGTCCCAGGGCCTGTGGCACGACTCCTGATGCTCTGGACCACCTTGACTGGGGTGTCACTAGCCCTGTTCCCTGTAGCTCAGTCTCCCACAGCCCTGGTGGCTCTGACTGTGGCCTATGGCTTCACATCAGGGGCCCTGACCCCAGTGGCCTTCTCCGTGCTACCTGAGCTGGTAGGGACTGGAAGGATTTACTGTGGCCTGGGACTGCTGCAGATGGTAGAGAGCCTCGGGGGACTGCTGGGGGCTCCTCTGTCAGGTAAAGGAAATGGGGTTACCAGGTGGGCCAGGGCTTCAATGTTGCACAATTGGGGGAGGGAACTGTTCCCCTTACAGAAGATGTGAATATTGCCCTCTGGTATGGTAAAGTACACACTCTGCATGGCCAATCATAGCAGCCATGAAATGGGTCCATGGGGCAGAGAACTTGGGGCTGGGAAGGTCTGAGTGGAAGACAAAGAGGAGCTAAGTGGAACTCTTGGCAGGGTGCCTACAGCTTGGGTTTTCTGAGGACCTGGCTGAACCTGGCCAGACATAGTGTCTTCCCTTTCCTTTGGCTCACTGGGCCCCAGCCCAGGTGTCTGGGCCTCCTGGTCAAAGTTCTACAGGCTCAAGGTGCCAGAACTTTCAGACCTTTAACGTTTTTCTTTCACCCATTAACTGAAGGTGTAGAAGGGTCACAGTTGCCAGAAAGAAAAGCACAGGTGCTTGACTCCTTCTGGATGTCCAGCTCCCTGAGGGGTTGTTTGGAGGTCCTTACTGAAGGCAGGAAGGTAGTTGAAATTACCTTTTGAGACCCCTTTGGGAAACCAGAGTTCTCATGTTCATCCAACCCTACCTTGGGAGCTCTATCTCCTTCAAGACGATGGGTATATTCCCTCCACCCAAAAATGTGACTGAGCCATCAGCCCCAGCAAACAGATCACTCATGTGTATTATTTTTCCCTCTTGAACCTAGGCTACCTCCGGGATGTGACAGGCAACTACACAGCTTCATTTGTGGTGGCTGGGGCCTTCCTTCTTGCAGGGAGTGGAGTTCTCATCACTCTGCCCCACTTCTTCTCCTGCGCCTGCTTCTCAGCTACCACATCAAGGCCCCAGGAACTTGTAACAGAGGCGCTGGCTACCAAAGTCCCCCTGCCCAAGGAGGGACTGGGAGAAGACTGAACTCCACAAAGAGGCAGTCATGCCCAGAAAGCCAGAGCTTGACAGCTCCAGGTCTGCCCCATTTTGGCATCCCTAGAACCATAGTGCCTTACGATTCTTAATCTGCTTGCCCCCAGAGCAGGCCTGGGGTTCCTGCAGTGTGTGTGCCAATCCTTTGTATTTTGTTTATTTCTCCTCCTTTGCACCTTTTCTTGTTTATATGCTTTTTTCTTTTATTTTTTCCTCCAACCTTTTCTAAAAGATCTAGGAGTTTTGAAGGGTCCAAGAGTTCCTGCTCCACAACTATGAAAATCAAAGACCAAGACTTATCACATTTTTACATACAATCTCTAGTATTGCCTCCTAAGTTTCTTCTGTGAAGACAGATGTTTGGGAAACAAGAACATCAGATGTTTGGGAAGCAAGAAACAAGAATTGTCCCCTTGAGATAAAACTGAATAAGAAAATAATCATAACCTCAAAAAGAGCTGGGGCCCATATGCTTGGCTTGGCTGGCTGGAGTCATGACTAGGAGTAGGGAGGGGGTATCCAGACGCTCTGGTGACCTAAAGCATTTTAAGCCTGGACTCTGCTCCCTGGGCCACAGTACCTCCCACCCACCCACCAACTTCCTCTTCCCCAATCCTTATGACTTAGAAAAGAAATGGAAAGAATGGTGAGAATATGGGGTATATGTGAAGGGGAGAAAGCTGATAAATCTGAAGTCTGGGCCTAGGATTCTTATATTTCTCTCAGGCCAATAGAAGGAGATTGACATGCAGGAGAGAGAATGAGAGGTGTGTGTACTAGGGTAAGGAAAATGAGGATGGGGCAGATAGCACCCATGAGCACCTTCTACCCACAGCAACAAACAAACTGACTGGCAGATAACTTCTCAAAGATTGCCCGTTATGGCAAGGACTTGGGCAAAGAGCAATGGATTGGCTGGAAGGACAGGTACCCTTCCTCACCCTCAGGGCTTACTGGGATCCTGTTCCTGGCAGCCGGTCTTTTCTGATATTTTTTTGATACTGAAGCAGAATGTTTTGAGGGTCCTAGACTGGCTGACAGTTGGAGCTCTCAGGAAAACTGGATAAGAATTCTTTATTGGGGCAAGGACTCAAACAAGGAAATGATCAACAAGTGGCGTCCAGAGTGGAGCGAGGGCCTGCTGGGGAGAGCAGGGCAACCTGCGGGACTGGGACTGGGAGCAGCTCCCCCATCTCAGGAGGAGGAGTGGCTGGAGGTGAGGCTGGACGGCAGGAGGGCAGCGCCCTGGGCAGCCCCGTGTAGATGAAGCTGCCGGCGAGGATGAAGGAGCCGCACACGAGGAAAGAGGCAGTGAAGTCTCCTGTCTCATCCCTGAGGAAGCCTGAGGATGGGCGAAGGAATGTAGAGGCCTGGGACCCAAGTGGCAGAGGACAGCTGTAATCGGATCTGCGGGCTCAGGCCCTTACCTGACAAGGGGGGACCCAGCAGCCCCCCGAGGCTCATCAGCATCATCACCAGCCCGGTGGCCTGCACCACACCTCCGAGGCCCACCAGCCCCGGGAGCACGCCGAAAACCAGCGGGGCGTAACTCCCGGCGCTCAGCCCGTAGGCCCCAGCCGCGGCCAGCAGGGGGCCCCCCCAGCCCCCCTCGCTCCCCGCCACAGGCACCAGTCCCACCACTAGCAGCCCCAGCCCTGTCAGAGCCCCGAACACGGCCAGCAGCCGCGGGAGGGGCACCCAGCCCTGGTCCGCCAGCCACCCGCAGACCAGCCGGGCGCCCGCATCGCCCACCGCAGCCACCGCCACCACCAGCGCTGCGCCGTACCCCGCCAGGCCCCGGTCTAAAGCGTGGGGGGCCAAGTGCACGTAGGGAACGAAGTACCCGCCCCCAACCAGGGCGGTGCCCAGAGCGAAGACCGAGAAGGCCCGATGTGTGAAGAGACCCAGGCCGAGGGCGGCTAGGGGGCCGCGGGGTGGGGCCGGGGGGTCGCCAGGGAGGGTCAGAGGTCGCAGCAGGGCGCCACAGGGGGTGAGGTGCAGGGTGAGGGCGCCAAGGAGGAGGAGGGCGCCCCGCCAGCCGAAAGTATCGAGGAGGAATTGCAAGGCGGGCGCCAGGAGCAGCGAGGAGGCCCCGTTGCCCGTGAGCGCCAACCCCACGGCCAAGACTCGACGGCGGGAGAAGTAACGCGACAGGGTGCCGAGGGCGGGAGCGAACGCCAGGGCCCAGCCGGAGCCTGCGAATGAACAGGGCGCGAGGAGGGTGGGTACCGGGGATGCCCGCCCGGCATTCCCGCCTGCTTCCCGCGGAGCCTCCGCCTCGTTCTCTCCTCCGGCCCGCAGCAAGCTCCCCTCCCCCTTCTCCCCTGAAGACCCCGCGCCCACGCCCCTCACCTGCGAGGAGGCCCAGGCCGAGGTAGACATGCGCCAGACTGCGGGCGAAAGCCGAGCAGACGAAGCCCAGCGAGGTGAGGACGCCCCCAACCATCACCACCGGGCGCGCCCCCCAGCGTGTGCTCAGGGCGCTGCCCACTGGGCCTAGGAGGGGGCTCAGTTAACGGAAGACACCCCCCTTGTCCCCAAACGCTGACATCTCCCATCAGCTGCTCGCCTGGCTCAAAACTCCACCCTCGGGCCAACAGGTCCTCCCCTTGACCTCAAGATCCACTTTTTTCTGGAACTTGGCTCCAAAGGTCGCCCCTCCTCAGGGGGTCTGGTATCAGGTGGGCCTCCCGCCACCGCATTCAAGGCCTCGCCACCCGGTTCCCGCCTCCCGCCTGGGGCCCCCCTCACTGGCTGCCTGCTGTACGGCCAGGGCCAGGGCGCTGACCCACGCGGTCTCCTGGGCGCTTCGGTCAAAGTGCTCGGCGAGGTCAGGGAGGGCAAGGCCCAAGGAGCGCAGCAGCCCGTAGGAGAGCCCGTTCACTGCGAAGCCTGTGGCTGCCACCACCCAGCCCCAGCCCCCGTCCGGGGGTCCGGCGGGCCTGGGGGTCATCGCCGTCCGGCTGCGGTGGGGAAACACCTGTGAGCGAGGGCTCCGCGTCCTTGCCTCCGCTAGGGAGCTGACAGCCCTGAGATCCAGCCTCTGGCCGCTTGCCCAGGGTGGGCACGGCACCGGGCACGGTGGTGCGGGGGCGGAGGGAGCGGGCCTGGGGACAGAATCCTGGGTCCGCGTGAGGGACCGGGACGGGGCCTGCCGGATGCCCCAGGCCGGGGGCTCCCCCTCCCACAAGCCTGCTAGTCCCCTTACCCGACCTCTCTGGGCGATGGGGGGAGGGGAAGGGCGAGCAATGGTTCGGCCGGTTTCGCGCCGCTTCCCAGGCAGACGGGCCCGGGAGGGCAGCGAGTGCAGAGATGGAGCCCAACTTGGACGAGTTCTCTCTGTAAACAGAGATCACCACAGGGGCCCGAGCCACCTGGGACACCAGGGATACGGAGGGCGGGGGCGAGCTGAGACAGTCAGCCAATCCGCGGAGCCTCGGATGAGGCCAGACGCCAGTCCCACGGGGATTAAATTATATACACACACGCACACCCTCCAGCCGCTAGGAAGGGAGCGGCCGGGAATGAAGGCCGCAGGGCCCAGCCCGGCTCGCTCCCACACACCTGCCGCCTGCTGCGCACGGAAGAGTCGCGTGGATTGCAATCCCCAGCAAGCCCGGGCTCCCTGCTGATGCTTGGAAATTGGGGACAGTCCCCAAAGCCAGAGGGGGTGAGTGGTTTTGTTCTCAGGAACGTTGCTGAGGACCAGGTAAATCTCGGAGATCAAATCACAGACCTCTACTGGGTGCCTGCTCCGTGCACAACAACAACATGCCCTGAAGGACTGAGAGAAGGAACAGGACTCCCTTAATACGAAGACCTGTGGCGTGCCCCGCACTCTTTATCCGTGTTATCGTTTCATCCTTACAATAACCCTGTGAAGAAGGTGTCATCCACGTTTTGTAGATGCAGTAACTGAAGCTCAGGAAAAATAATGGTGGAAATATTTGAATTTAGGTCTGTCCAGCTGCAATCCTTACAGGGAGAACAATCCCTAGGACTGAAATAGAATCTGCCACAATTGAGGGAAACGTCCTGGAGACTGTTTGATGCAAAATTTCCCTGGAAAGGCCAGAACCTTTGCAGAGCCAGAGAGTTTATGATTCTATAATAAAATAGGGGTCACTGGGAATAGAAAGGATCCTTGAGATCAGAATCTCTAAAAACTCAGGTTAGAATTTTAAAAGCAAAGTAAGAAATCAGAGAATTGAACCCAGTTGTTGATTTCTTGAAAATCTTTATAGAAACGATCCTTTTTTTTTTTTTTTTCTTACAGCTTTACACTGCTTTACCTCACCTGTTTGCATCCAGACAAGTGTTCTTTGGTTTAATGATTAAACAACATCATAGAAAATTCAGCAACTTAGTGTGGAGCATGCATCAGCTGACAGCCACATGATGGCAGTGTTTCCTAATTGTTGAGAAGAAAAGCAAGCCAACTTCTTAAGTAGTCAAATTGTAAATCTAAAAAACAGCATGACCTTTGGTGGCTCTGTATTGCCTGTAGGAGGAAATATCAAATTTCTCTACTTTATGTTTAGGGCCTTTCACAATAATCAAAGATAGACTAGGCAACCTTTCCACTCCGTCTCCCTCCCGTCCCTATTGCACCCTCCCATCTGCCATCAGCTTCTCACCTGCTCTGTGGACATGCCAAGCTTATTCTCTCTCATGGATTTTTGCATATGTCATGCTTTCTGCTTGAAACATACTGGTTGGGGTGCAGGAATCCATGAAGACTTAAGGTCCTGCCCGATGCTCTGGCACACGCCTATAGTGCCTGGTACCCAGGAGGCTGAGACAGGAGGATCGCTTGAGCCCAGGAGTTGAAATCCAGCCTGGGCAACACAGCAAGACCCCCTGGTTTTTAAATATATATATGTTAATATATGTCCTGATACATACACCTTAGGAAAGTGGCCCCACTGGTTTCCCCAGCCTGGAGTACTTCCGTGAAAGCAACCAGGGAGGTGGAGCCAGCATGTCCTCAGCTACCTGGGAGAGCAGGGAGCCCTCTTCCTGAGAAGGCTGGTGAGAGCTCTGCTCCAAGCTGAATGAGGCCAACTGAAACATCACTTTCTCCCTGCAGTGAAGGAGAAGTGCAGGGCGGTCAAAAAGGAGACTGGACCCTCTGGGTCTGAGAGTCGTACCCAGTGATACTGAGCACCTTTGCAGGATACTTATGAACCCAGAAGGGCATCCCAGAGCCCAGAGACTGGGGTGATTAGTTATGAAAGGCCACATTCTTTTTCTACCTCTTATTCCCTATGTTCTTAGCCAAAATTGTTCATGGAGTTAATATAGCATAAAGAATGGGAGAATGAACTCCCAAGCTAGACTTCCTGGGTTTGAATCCCAGCTCTACCACTTATTAACTATATGATTGTGAGCAAGATACTCTGTGCCTCTATTTCCTCATCTTTAAAATGGGGTCAATAATAATAGCTACCTGATGGGTTGTTACGAGAATTAAATGAGTCACTTTGTATACATGTTTAAGTAAGTGCCCGAATATGACATGTTAGGCCCCATTGCTGCCACTGTTGTGACTTGAGGAATCTGGAGGACCATACTACACTGCCACCCCTTACCTACCTGGCTCCTACTAGCACCTCAAGCTTGAGGAACCATTGTTGGTCTAGTGAGTTCACAGTGAAACCACACAGGTTATAAAATGTGAATGACAATAAATAGATTTAATGGAAGTTCTTGTATTTTTCTTGTGGTGAGTGCTTTCTTCAGTATTTTCCAAAATTCATGAGAAAATGCTGGATCTCCCTATCTTAATTTTTGTTTGTTTGTTTTCGAGACAGAGTCCCACTCTGTTGCCCAGGCTAGAGTGAGTGCTGTGGCGTCGGCCTAGCTCACAGCAACCTCAAACTCCTGGGCTCAAGCGATCCTCTTGCCTCAGCCTCCCAGAGTGCTAGGATTACAGGTGTGAGCCACCACCCCGGGCCCCTATCTTGACTCTAAAAACAAAAGAGAAGAAAGGAGTCAAAATAAGTTTTATTCATTTAATCCTTCATATAAAATATTTATAGACATCTACATGCCAAGTGCTATGCTGAAGGCTAAGGATACAAATATGAATAAGATACAGTCTCTCCTCCCTCAGCTCTTATCATCAGATCAGAGGAACAGCCACAGAAAGAAAAGAAATCTCTGCACAAGGAGAGGGACACATACACCCTAGAGTGGTGCATGGGAGGAACTGGCTCATTTTGCTGAGGCCTGCTAGGAAGCTTCACAGAAGAGGATCCCCTTGAGCTGGGTCTTGAAGGATGAGTAGGAGTTTGCCAGATGGGTGTGTGGGCAGGGGCATTCCAGGCAAAGGGAGCAACTTGTGGAAAATCACAAAGGCATGAACCAGCTTGGCACATTGTTTATTGTTTGGAGAGCTGTAAATAGCCACTATGTAGAGAACAGAGAGTGTGTAGGAGAGTACCGTAGGATGAAGTTGCTAGGCCAGAGGGTCCCTTCTGAAAGGCCTTGAAGGCCAGGCTAAGCAATTTAGATGTTTTTCCAAAGACTGATACTTTCCAAAAATTTCCACTGCAGTGGCATTTTCACTAATACTGGAAGTTGAACACAGAGGGGAGAGGACTCAATGTACAGTCAGAGAGGTAAGGAGACTATGGGGTTAAAGGCCTTTTGCAGGTAGGAAATTCCTTTGAAATGTCTTGTTTTATGTTGAAAGTTCATGTGGAATCTTGTATGCTACTTTTTATAACAATCTTTGATACATGTTTTCGTAGGAAAGCAATGCTTTAAATTACTAGATAAATTGTTTAACTTTTCCCCCTCAAGTCTTCAAGAAAAAAATGTAACTCTCCAGGAAGGCATACATATTTATTCCAAGGTGGTGTTGTCCCTGGCACATTGCCACGAGGGGTAGTGGGAGCCACTGGTGGCACAGCACGGCCTCCTCTGGGAATTCGTCCCCGACCATGCCAGCTCCTAATCTGCCTGTGTGAACCCCCATCAGAGCACCTCTCAGTCTGCAATGAAATCACCCATTTTCATCTTCTGTGATTCATCCTGCATGTTGCCTTTGTACCGTGAGGCCCTGGAGGTGGGACCTTGCATTATTGAGCTCTGGATCTTTCATGCCCAAAGATGCCAAAGGTGAGTGATGGAATCACTGAATGAGAGAAACAGTAAACAACGGAATCATTGAATGAGTAGACTCAGTACCTGGTGCTCCCCAAGATGTAGCAATATCACAAGAGGGAGTCACTGATGGACCAAACTAATAATGCATGACCGCGTGGAGAAAGCCCTAGAAGCAGATGCTGAGCCAGATAGTGCCTTTAAGGAGATCATGCAGAGGGTCAAGCACTGTACAAGATTTGCTTTGGCCGCCACGGGATTTGGGAGTGTGTCTGTGCTCGTGAACTCTAGAATTGCTCTGGGGCTTTCTTGTGGGAGCCCCTGCTGGAGGTTCTTGGGGCCTCTGGAGCCAAACCTCAGGAAATCCCTGAACCAAGCCCAGCTATTCCCCCCCCCCACATACCCACAGGGCTCCCTCTGCAGAAAGCAGAAGGGAAGGAAGAGGGCAGGTGAGGATGGAGGCGGTGTTACCCATGGGAAACATTGCTCTATTTGAGGTTCTCAAAAATACAGGGCTTTCCAGTGTTTGGTCAGCCAATCTTGGGCTTCTAAGACCAAATAGAGCTGCCTCTAACTCCTCACACCTTCCCCAATTCCTCCCCTTCCCCAATTCGCACAGAGTCCAGGCCATGGCAAGTGAGCATCCATCTCATAACCTAGACCCGGGGCCTAGGACAGTGGAAAAACAAAGGCCAGGGTTTGTGGCTCAGGACCAGGGGAGCACATGCACTGAGATGTCTGAAATGGGGGTGGGTGATGAAGCAAGAGGGCCGGGGAGCTCATCTTGTGTTGGGAAGAAGTATGCTTGGGTGTCCGCATCAGTTGAATGAGCAGAGAACAGAGCTGAGTCCCCTGAGCCTTATTTTGGGACTGGGACTGGGGTAAGGACTTTGCTCAGTCTGGGGCTATAGGAAGGCTGGTGACAGGTTTCGTGCAGACAAGATGGAGCTGAGGCTGGGGCCAAGGCCTGGGATGGGATGGAAGCCCTACCCCACGTTTCTCCTCTCTTACTCCTTCTGCCGAATCTGTCTTCAGTGCCTCTTCCCTGCTCTCTGTCACCACCACCTTCTCATCCCCCTGAGAACCTGATTCCCCATTCCTGGATGTCTCCTACCAGCCCAGTCTCCAGGACAGGGGTTCAGGGACAGTGGGGGAAGTGCATAGCTCAAGGCTTTGAGCCTGGTATGTGTGTCTTAATATCCAAGTGTGTCTTATCTGGCATACTCTGGTCTGGGACTTTAGCCAACATCTATGTCAAAGTTCTTAGTTGTAAGCCATGAGCTTACTAACTCTGACTTATTTAAGGAAAGAAATGATTTATTGCAGGATACTGGGTAGCTCACAAAATTACCAAGACGGCTACAGAACTAGATCTGGCAGGAGCACAGATTGCCACAAGCCTAAATGGGTTGCTAAAGCCGCTGCTGTCACCATGGGACACTAGATGTCACTGCTGGCAGCCATCTACAACCAGCTGGCCTAGAAACAGCTGCTGCCGCTCAGAAATGTTCTCTGTTTCTGTGCTTCACAAGCTCCCAAATCCAAGTCCAGAGCTGTGGTCCTGACCTCCTGCACCTGGGTCACGTGCTCTCATCCCAGCTGGCAGGGGCACCAGAAAGGGAGCACCTGTTGTTTCCAGTGTCTACAGGCAGATGTGTTCTGCCTCCCATCAAAAACAATAAGGTGGGGGATTTCTCAAAGGAAGAGGTTTAGGCCCAAAGTGTCCTAAAACCTCTTTTAGCCCAACTGAAACAGATTAATAGAATAGGTATGAATTCAAATTGGACCTGGTGAATTTTTTCTTTTTCTTTTTCTTCCATGGGTCTAAAATGGACGGCAGGACTGGTGAATTATGAATAGCATAGTTCTTGAGTCCCAACTCCAGCAGTTTCTAGGCATCTAGAAAAAGTGGCAAATACTTCAAAGGCTTGTTGGTGACACTTCAGTGGAGTAAAGCTTGGAAAGGACCCAACTCAGCTCCAGGCTCGTGGTAGGCATTCTACAAAAGCAGGTTCCCTTTCATTTCATTTCATTTCATCTCATTTTCTGGCCACAGGTAGTTACCTCCAGTTCATCTCCACTCTAGTACAATCTCTATTCCAAGTCGCTGTGTTCCTCCTGTCTTGATTTGAGATAGGGAGTCAGACCAGAAGGGGCCAG